AAGTAACACCTAAAGAAACATATTGTTAAAATTTCCAAGTTTTGATTGGGAGAAAATTATGACTAATCATTTGTTGCCTAAATTGGAAAAATGCATGAAACTTAAAACATAGAGTACTGTGTTCCTGATCTGCCCTTTTCTCTGCATTTAGCTGCAGCAGAGAGTCCATCAAATTCTCAACCTTAGAGGAGGCTCTGTAAAAGTAGTGCGCCACATCATGAGAGGTGAGTAACTTCATTTTCTTTATTACAGTTATTTCCAAAATCAAAACACCACTCAATTGATGATTAGCTTCGGTAACTAACAAATGAAAGCAGTGGTGTGTAATGTGGGGGAATGAGTAAATACTACATGTACAGTATAACATCATAGACCTGCAGGGGTTAATTTATGAACCTGATTTTGAAAACTCAAGCTATAGAAGCTGGAATGACAACACATAGGCTGCAAATGGCAGACAGTCTTGGAGAGGGATAGGATAGCAGAGAGATGTCACATCCGTCCCATTATCAAAGCTATTGTTTTGTACAAACTTCTCTTAAAGACATCTCTCCTTTACCTGTATACATTTGCAGATTGACATAGCTAATTTAATTTGGAAGGTATTGTAGCAATAAACAGGAAAGTGTAGCATCTGAAATATCAGAGTGGAAGTGTTCATGCTGTACAAATGTTTATTACTTTGTCTTCACATCTCTTATGTACAGATGGTAAAACAATATGCAGAAATGGATCCTGGCTTGCAAATATGCATTATAATTTGTTCATGCTGTCATGTGCAGAGCAGAGGCTGTGTTTCTGTCATTCATTCTTTTTTCACTGTCCCCAAGATTTCCTGTCCTGTTGTATTTGTTTTTTGTTTGGTTTTCAAAGTCCTAGCAGGTGTGTTATTTTCTTCCCAGTGTGATATCCATCCATCCTGTATCATTGTCAGATACAGCTCGAGGACTAGGCTTCGTTCACTCGCCCTCTGGCTTTTGGTGGCATGTAGCACTGTAGATAGAGCCATCCGTCACGCATGGCAGTGCCAGCAAGCATGGCAGTGCTCCAGTCCTCGCTGTGTGTGTGTGTATGTGGGAATGTGTTTCTAAATGCCAGTGTGTTGCTTTCGTTTTCATCAGCATATTTGCGTGCGTTTGCTCTGCTTCTCTGCATAATTTTGATGATGTGTTTTTGCTTGCTAACATTTTTTGTTTGCATGTGCACATTTGCCTTTGGCATGAAGACATATTTAATTGTGCGTACATGCCTTTGCTTGCTTTCATGTGTTTAATTACATACCTTTGGAAGAAAATCTATGCAGGTGTGTGCATGTTTGTTTCCATTGTGCTTTGGTTTGCTTATTGTTTTCATGTACATATTACATGTATGTTGTGGGTACTTGTCCTTGCATGACGTTGATGTGACATATTTACAAATGTGTCATAAACTGTGCTGAGTTCATGTGTGTATGCATCTGTAATGACATGGCACTGGTGCTTCTGGCCATCTTCAAGCCTGTGTGTGTGGCTTGTAATGTGTGCCCTCACCCTTTCCATTAGATTGGATTGTGGCACCCTCTCCCATTTCAAGAGCCCCTCCCGGTCAGTGTGAAACTACAGAAAAAGGTTAAGCACATGCATACTGTGTCGCCGGCTGTGGTGCCTTGACCTTAATGGCTTTAGCTTGCTGAATGAGAAGCAGCACTGCACAAGGGAAGGCTTAGCACACTGGAAGGACGAACATTGATTTTGCTCATGCTGGGAAAACCTGTGGTGATGTTTTCCACTTAAGAAACTTTAGAAGAAGTTATGCCACATGTAGTTAGACTTGGCAAAATGTAGGCAAAAATATTGTTTCAACTGTTTCTTGGATTAAGAGCCACTGTAAACAAAAATTGCCCTTTTAGACAGTGTTAATAGAGCTCCAAGAAATTATATGACAAGAATAGGCATAGAGGACATTCAGGTGGAATGACTTGTGTTCTACTTTTCTTTCTACTTATCAGTCATTACAGAGAAAAGGGTGACATGATATATAAATTAAGTTGATAACACACATTTTCAGGCAGTCTCTCCTGGACGGCATTCTTAGTGTTGTACGTGAAAATGGCCGCCATAGCTGTGTGAAAAATTTAAAAAGAGAACTAGACAGGCATCATGGGCAATTCTAATTTTCCAAAGTTCACAAAGCAGGATAAACAGAATCTGATCCTGAGCATGTGCAGCAGTGTCTAGCTGACACAGAAACTTCAACCTTTCAAAGAACTCTTCAAAAATGCAGTTATAGTAATGAAGTAACGTGTTACTCAGTGCAAATTTGCTGCTTGTTTTGTTTGCCGACTCCGCTGAAAAGCTTTATTAATGCTGCCATTTCCCTTGAAAAGCCTAGGAGACGGTTATTTCCAATAAACAGCTCAGCAGATGGCTGACAAAATGTAGCCATACAAATTAGCTGGTGATTTTTCTCAAGGTGTCCTTTTTATGTTTTGGTGGTTGTGTTTTAGCGGCATCGTTGCAGTAGGCATCAGACCTTGCACCACTGGTCCCTGTCCATGGCTGCTGTTGCAGAAACCCCTGGAAATGATTCCCCTGGTACTTGTGGCAGATCAGTCCCAGTCACTGACCTGAGTAATGGCAATGCTCAGTGCTGCATTGTCCTCTGCAGTGTTGCCGTGGTGACAGAAGGAGAGAGTACCAGCATGCCAAAGACAAGGTTCTGCAGAGAGTTGAAGAGTCACTGAATCTCTGACCTTTCTGTGTGTGTGGCTGACTGTGCCGCCATTAACGAACATGGAGACACACACACACACACACACACACACACACACACACAAGGACAATGACAGGCGTACCTGCTTTTCTGAGTCAGCCTTAAAATTCTGCCTTTTTTAGTTGAGTAACATCCCACACCTCTGGGGATCACATTCAGATCCCTGGTGCTGTCATTCAAGGCTGCTGTGGAAGCTGCGTGTCTGTGTGTTGTGGTCCAAACCTACATCGCCATATCTCCAGAGAGCGGTCCAGCTTTACACTTTTATAGCTTTGCTCCCGGCGCTCTGGCCTTTCTCAGCCCATCTCTCTTAACATTGATGGAGTGACCTCTGTGCTCCAGACTGCACTATGTCTCACTGTGAGTCTTCTTACCTGAACTGAAAGGTTGTCTAAGGAATCTGTTCAAGTGCTATACTAGCCTGCTTTTCTTACAAAGCAAAACCTCCTTGGTGTCTTTGACAGCCACGTTTCGTCCTCCTAAACCCTTGCAGGCTATTGTCAGGAAATCCCCCTTCACTCTCCTCTCTCTACAGTCTCCCAGAGAAAAGTAGTCCTTTTCATCTTTTTGTCTCTGGGTTTAATGTGTAATCCCCGCCTCAGAGGCTGGCTGAGAGACAAAGTGAATGCCCAGACTGCACCGGGGCTGCGGCAGATGCTACTTTCTCTTTCTGCACATTAGACTCACAAATCGACCGTCGGTTGCTCTCGAAGGCCTTGTGTGGGAGGCAGACGCACGAAATGAAGGAAACACTCCAAGTGAAGTATGAGCACTGCACAGTACACCTGGACAGATTACTGTTCACAGCCAGAGGACATGGGGATTATTCGGTATTTTAAATGTGGGTGCAAGAGTTATTGCCAAAATTTCTACGTGAGGAAGTGCTCTGGCAAAATAAAATGAAGTACAGTACTTATCAGTCATTTGAGTCAGTTATCAACAAAAATGACAAAACCTTCTGGGTCCAGATCCTCAAATGTGAAGATGTGTTGCTGTTCTTGGTTATATTGTGTATAAACTGTGTATATGTTGGACAAACAAGCAATATGCAGAAATCACCTTGGATTCTGGGAAACTGACATATGATTAATTGAGGAAATAGCTGGCTACTCGATAATCAAAAACCCTTTTTTGGCTGCTGTTTAAAGACTATTTCTGCAGTGTGAGAACACAAGGCCACTCGCCTTGTACCCCTTATTTCTGGTGATCAAGTAACTGAAGCTCATTTTGCTGTTGCACTCTAAATTAGACTTTCAGGCAAATTCCTAAACCATGCACTATTTTCCTGCTCACATTTATCTTCCATTGAGTGGAGGGGAGATCAATCTTGTGAATTTCTGGATCCAAGGATATTCTCTGTAACCTTACAAGTCAAACAGCCACGCCTGTGCTGTCAGGTCCAACTAATCAGCCAACTTTTCTTTGTCTTTTGCAGAGTACGCGGAGAGCATCGGAGATGGGAAGAGTGACGAGTTCAAAGAAGCTGAGCGGAAGAGGATCATGGACCTTGTAGACAACTTCTAATCACACTTTCTCGCTCTCTCTCCCACACACACACACACACACACACACACACACACACATTCACCTTCAAACACAATACAGTATGTTCTTACATGTGAGAACGCTGGAACCCATGAATCTGATCTGGGACTGATGGCGACCTTGAGCCAGGGTGTGTGTTTCTGTGGCATACAGTAACTCCAGTCACTGAGGACATTTACATGCCTACAGTACAAATACTGCTAAAAACTAGTCGGCTACAGGCACATTTTTGACACCCAGTGCAAGAGAGAGAGAAAAAGAAACTCAAATTAGTTAGTGAATGATTAATGAAATAAATCTTATTCATCTAGTAAACAATCCACATGTGTGAAATTGGATGAAATTCCATGAAGATAGATGAAGAAAATTACATGTAGAGATATGCTCAGTGTAGAGGCAGCAGGGGTTTGGAGAGCATAATATTGTTGCTCCACTGAAAAAGCAAACATGAAATCTACTCAGAGCTATTTTCTGTACTGTGGTGTTGAGCACTGCAGGATAATTATGGACAGACTTTGCAGAAATCTGCAAACTTAATGTCTCTCCCTCGGCTCTCCCCTTTACCTGGTTTGTTTGTTTTGGACTTGGCATGTAAAATATTTTCTAATAAAACATTTGGTAATAAAATCCTGATTGCATGTTTAATTTGTTTTGTTAATGTCACGGTTTAGTGAGCGAAACTGGCACAGCTTGTTGATAACAGTCAACACATGTGCACATGAATCTCATTATTCCTGCTCTTGGTTACTGTTGCACACAGGCACGGGGCCTGTATCTGCCTCTTTCTGCGCAGGGACAGAATCATTCGCAGAAAGACAGACCTTCATTTGTCTGAACCCGCCCACTGCTTGATCTCAGCATCCTCCCAGAGCTCTCTGCCCACTGCTGCTTTTCTTTGTAACGCTGTTCACGCACATCAGTGTTGGGGTGTATTATGGTAGAGCTGTACACAAACCAACCTATGGTTTGATCCTCACTGCCTTGTGCACTATACTTCACTGTGTCTTTGCTGTAGTTATGCCTAACACAGGAAAAAACATTCCCAATTACTTGTGCATTTTAGGTGTGAGACAGAAGGCTGATCAGTGCAGAGAGGAAATGGAGGAGAATGTTTTGCAGGATGGTTCACAGAGTTGTAGTGAGGAGCTGACCTACTTAAACTCAGTTTACCCACTATTTTTAGTCTGATATGAATCTTAATGTCACTTTCCTTGCACACAGTAGTGGCAGACAAATTGTGCACTGGGAGGAACAGTTTTCTTAATTGCAGCCAGATTCAACATAAAGGTAGGAATGATCTATTAGTGTGAATAATAAGCAGCCACTGGTGCAACACTCAGTTCAGTGGTTGACTTTTTAACCCAGAAGGACCAGGAAAGAATTCATGTAAAATGTACAGATGGCTGCATAACGATAACAAGTGCAGCAAGACCGGGTAATGATTTTGGATTTCAGGCTGATTGGCTGATTGACATTTGGTTATACGTCATTAGTGGTTAACAGCTATTCTCAGTTTAATTGACATTCAAAAACTTTATTTCAAGAATTCTAATGCAGCATTTCATTGGTTCATTCTAAGGCATGAACAGTGAAGCTTAATATTTAAGCCAACATGGATGAGAAGACCTAAAAGTGCTCAGAATATTGGAAAATTTGAGCATCTACAGTTATGTAACAACTGACCAAAATTAATCTGCCAATGAAGACTGTGATACGCTGAGTGGGCATTGCTGCCAGCTGCTGTTTCTGGGGTCAAGAAAGAACTTTCAGTCCAGTGAGCTTCATGCAAGAACATTTTGGTATTTTTATCCTAAATCCCTTTTTGTTTTTTCCAGCTCAGATTCATTAAACTCCCTTCACTGCAAAAACTTGGCAGAAACAAACTCATAAATTGTTCATTTCAGCCTGATGAATGCCACCTGTTCATGAGGAGATGCATGTTTGTGAGAGGTAGTCATTAACATAATTGATGCCCCAAAAATTGCCAATAAGTGCTACCTGATCTGCTTCGTTTATGGGGATTCACAAAAATGTTGCCAAAGGGTAATACTAAGAGCTTTACACTGTGGAGCTTTACGTGTTGCTTTTGGAGATCAGCAGGCAGAAGCAGAACAAATTTAGTAGTGGTCCGGTGGTGTTGGAGCACCTGAACAAATTAGAAATAAAAGATGTGTGATAACATTGCAAAGTAATAAAATGTGTGAGTACTTTAAATCTTTTGGTGTCTAGGAAGCCTTAAAATTCACAGATAAGACAGCAGTGTGAGAATTTTTCTGACATCTAATGGAATATTACAAATCTAAAAAGCTTCTCAGTAAATTGGCATTTAAACTCCAAAGTCATTCAGAAAAAGGCAATGTGGGTGTTTGTGAAGACAGGTAAGCTATCTACAACTACAACTCCTACAGTAGATCTTGACCAACCAAACACTGTGAATGCTACATCATGTTAAAATCACTCGTGTGTGTGCCACTTAAGAGCAGTGTTTCTTGCAAGAAGCCCAGTGAGAGAGTGATTCACAGCCTTAATTATTTGATAAACGACTAAAACTAGCCCTGCTGATGGTTATATATGATAATATATAATAATAAGCTGGATGTTGTGTTTGTATGAAATTTAAATAACGAGGAGTGCTACGATAGATGGCGCCACAGATGACAGTGGTGATGAATTTCTATGTGTGAATAAATGTGAAACAACTTAAAATCTGTGCATGCATTTGATTCCATGATTGTGAATTCTGAAGACCTTGACACATATTTCTGAGGCATTTGAGTTTATGTTTTACAACAAACCATAGATTTTAATCCAGCAAGTGCTGCTAAGGTGAACTGTATAAGCTTCTGAAAGATCAGGTTTACACCATGACAACTCTCATTTGTCTCTCAGGAGAAAGTAATGCAGCATTTATTCATGTCCACACCTTGTTTGTTTATTCTGTGTGCTCATTTTGTACCACGCCCTCTCTCTGCGGTGTTGGGAGGGGGGCAGCTCACTGACAGCTGTCACATCTGCTGCCTTTCCTGAGTGCCTTTACAAACTTTAATGTCACTCAGTAACAAGATGAGTCAAATGGGCACCGTTTGCATATTGTATTGGCAGAGAAGGCCCAGCCCCATGCATCTCTTATCGGTGATTATAACTGTGGCGTGTTTAACAGCAGTTGTACAGCAATTTCACAGCCGAGGGGAGGGAGAATAATTGTATTTTCCAAATGACTGAGTGCAAACACTGTGTACTGCTGTGTTTTTGGGCTCGTCTCTTTCGCTAGGGGACTAAGGGGCTAAGCTGCTATTGAGTATGTGCACAGAGATAAATAAGTGTAAAAACAGGGACACTGCAACCTAAGGTTTTGATGTATACCATCCTCCAGGACCTGAAAATTAAGCTCAACAGCAACATTAGTGTGTTGACATTCAGATTTGGGTTACAGGTCCCTAGCTCTTTAATGAAAACTGGTACAAAGTCTGGTAAAAACTGTTTGCTTTCTAAAGCAGGGATCTGATGAAGTGAAACATACCTCTATCAAAACATTTCAAACAATCAGGCAGGCTGTAGAAAAATGGCAGGGATCAGTGCCATACAAACCCAAAGGGCATTCCTAGATTAATAGTTATGGATTTTCAGGTATGTTGTGTATTTACTAATGATTGTATTTCATGGTTCACAAATAACTATAATAATAAATGAACAAGAATAGTATTAATGTACAGGAAGCCTTCAAGGAAAATTATAATCAAAAAAGAATTCCTGTATAAAGAACAGTTTCAGAAGGTTAATGATACTGGAGACAAAGTAGGTAAAATTTACATTGTTTGATGGGTGGGGGGGACCAACACCTGGAGGGAGACGAGTGGGTGTCTTGGAAACAGCGTGGGCAGTCCTGTTGCTGCTGAGTATATTTAACCATACAAGTGGTTTCTAGTCAGCAGGGTGGCCTTTGTTTGGGCCCAGGACATGTGTTTTAGGATAGGTTTGGGTTGGTGTAGCATCCCCTTAGTTATAAGCCTAGGCTGAGGGGCATCCCATGATGCAGAGCTCCTCTCCTCCCCTCCCCTTTTTATATGCCATCATTACATGTCACTAACTCTGTCTCCTCTCTGCTGTAGCATGTCCTCTCTCTCTCCCTCTACCTTTCCGCAGGTTGTCTTAGCTCTGGAGCTCTACGTCTCTGATAAACAGTCACTGGGCACATCAACCTGACCAGTGTTTGATTGTTTGTTGTGTTTGTTACGTTTCTTCTTTTCTCTCTCCTCTATCCACTCACCCCAACCAGTCGAGGCAGAAAGCCACCCACCAAGAGCCGGGGTCTGTTGGAGGTTTCTTCCCTTAAAGGGAGTTTTTCCTCCCCATTGTCGCCAAGTGCTTGCTCAAGGGGCATTTGTTGGGCTTTTCTTCAATAATAATAATACTACTAATAATAATAACATTAAGGTCTCTAGACCTTGCTTTGTAAAGTGTCTTGAGCCGACTGTTGTTGTGATTTGGTGCTATACAAATAAAATTGAATTGAACTGAACTGAATTGAATTGAATGGTTTGCTGTCTTGGGGATACAATAGGTTGCAGTTAAGAATACAAAAAGTGACATCTTGTTTAAGTCTCACAACTGCCGTTTATGTGAAGCAGAGACTGGCTTACAGTGTGTCTGACAAAAAAATTAACAGAAAATAAGACCTTGTAGAGGATATTTTAAAGTCAAATTTATAAATTATTTCAGCATATTAGAAAAGAACTTGCTATTTCACAGTTCTGACCTTGATTAAAATTTAATTTAACTATTAATTATTCCTACCCTCCCACACAATATCATAAAGCACATTTTCTTTTGCTCTGTAACAAGCATGCAAACACAATACAAATTGTTATATAAATTATTAAGGCAATAGGAAGGTTTTCTCTGGATTATCTCTGTGAAATAAATGGTGCACATTGTATATTGTTTTGCTTGTAAAGGTGGACAAAATAACCTCCTGGCTATGTTGTCCTGTTGTGGTAAAGATTACTAAAGATGATACAAGCAGTTACATAAAGTCTAGCAGCCAATGTCATAGTGTTGCTTTCATTCTACTCTTCAATGCGTGACTAGTGATGTGGCTGCTTTGCGACCAGCACCATGGACAGCGGCCACCACCATTGACAGCGGTCAGCACCATGGACAGCGGCCATCACCATTGACAGCGACCAGCACCATGGACAGCGGTCAGCACCATGGACAGCGGCCATCACCATTGACAGCGACCAGCACCATTGACAGCGATCAGCACCATGGACAGCGACCAGCGCCATGGACAGCGGCCGGCAACATGGAGAGCGGTAGCCTTTGAGTTGCGCTGCAGTTTGCATTGTGGGACTGTGCTTTACTGTAATCCCTCAGATTCAAATGCTGATAAATCCTGGTTCACAGAAGCACATTACAACACATTTTTACAAATGAGCTGTGGCCAAGGTCAAGGCAGTAAGGAGCAGCAAGAAATAAAAATATAGTTCTTAAAAACAAGTCAACTCAATACTAAATATGGAAGAACCAAAATTCTTCTAACTTGTCAGTTCATTTATGATCCCATAGTTCTTTTTGGGGAGGGGGCTCAACCTTTCACTTTGCTAGTCATTTCTTACATTTGTTAAAATTAAATGTTATTTTTACTTCAAGATATTTTAAAAATAATTACTTATTTCAAATAGTAATTAAACACCATCTGAGGTCAGGTATAAGAAGATACATATGGAAGGTTTACACAAGCCCCACTCTAATTAACTGATGTTTGAAAATACAAATCAAACAAACAAAAATTCTTTTAAAACCACTTACCCCTGTTGTATTCTTGAATTTTCAGAATCTTAATGGGAAAACACGCACCTACAAAAGATTATTGTCCTATCTGAGGCTGTGACTCTTTCAGAATAAAAACAAAGATGTACAGAAGTTCACTGTAACTAAATGATGATCGCTGATTGTTAAATAACCGTCTCCCAAGTCTTATATAATTTATTTATTTTTTTGCACTTGTCAAAGTAAAGAGATTTGCTCTTATACAACATGTCTCTATTGTGCCAAAGGACACAATTGTGAGGAGGATAGTTGGGGATAGCACAGTTTATGATTAGGGATTAAATTCCATATCGAAGTGGGACAGTTGGGCTGTTGCTGTATCCACCTAACCTTATAGCACACACTTTGTTCAGCTGTTGGAGCAGCGCCATGTAGGATGACTGTATAAAACATGTTCATCTATCATTCAGCTAACATTAATAAAAACATAACATTAATTCAATTGATGGGGCTTTGAACCTTCTGTCATCTCTTCTGCCGTTTCATAGAGGTTTCTTGAGGGTTAATATAACTAAATTCCCCACTGCCAGTCGCGGCACTTCCCATTTGAGAGCAGTCTCCCTCCGCCGCATATAGAGCCGCGTGAACGGAAGCAGCCTCCGTCAGTCAGTGACTGCTGCTTTGGAGGAAGGCGACTTCTGCGTTTCTGTGTTCCTCACGTGTACTTCACTCTCTTCCTCGCCGCAAGTCACAGGAAACAAAGAAAAGAAACTCTTTCGACGTGTACTCCACCTGATGTGAAGAAGAAAGAGGGGTAACTGAGAGCAGACAAAAACCACGAGAAATGGGAGCGTTCCGGGTGCTGCTGGGGAGTTTACATTACATGGGACTCTACATACAACTTAGTATCTCAAGGCAAGCTGGGCACGGCGAGATGGAGAACCGCATCTCTGGGAACGGTAGGTTCAGACTCTTTCGTTTTCTTTTCAGATAGGAGCTCAGAAGGGCTGTGAACAGGACGGCATAGGTGATGCCAGCTGCTCGCATCCACGGGAAGAATTAAACAAAGAGCTGCGCACAGGCTGAGAGGCTGACAGGATAATATGCCAACTTATGCAAATGTCTGTTTCCCTTGTTTATTTTGTGGATACCCGTGGTGCTTGTAGTTATTACTGTCACGCATAAAAAAATAAATAAAAATAGTTCAGGTGCGTGCAGTGACTAACCTGTCGTTCAGTCAGTGCGTGTCTGTTCATCTTATTAGACCAACAAGGTTTGTATAGTCTTGTTTAAATGTGATATAACTAGACCTTTTGCCGTTATTCAGTTTAGGTGGCTAAATTCTGATTGTCATAGCCCTGTGAATGAGTATAAAGGTTGTGTTTGATGTAATTGTTGGTGAAACAGTCTGTTGTGTTGGTGAGCCAGTGCTCATGACTGACACTGGATTGGTTTTTCTGTTTATCAGCGCTTCTCATTCTTGATCCCTCTTGAGCCATGTCTGGTGGAGGTAGAGGTGATGGCAGCTGATAGATTACAGTCAATATTCTCTTTCATTATCCCTATGAAATCTGTACTGAACAAACTTCAGTCCAGTTCAGATCTGTCTCCTCCTCTTCCACCAGGAGCTTCCCTAAATGGCCTCCAGTGTTTACACTTGGTTATGTCATATAGTCTAACACAGAGAGTGTTTCTGCTCTCTGGGTTGTCCTGACAACTTTGGCTCACTCTGTCAGTCTCCACAGGTGTCATGCTGTCGGCTTGGCAGATGTGCAGACAGCACTAAATTTCTCTGGGTTAAAAGATAGTGAGGAGGGGAGGGCAGAGATAGAGCAGCGCTGATAGCCAGCAGGTCTGAATACCTCAGTGCCCTTGAGGCTGAGAGTCTGACAGTAGATCTGGTACCAGCTTCTTTGACTCCTGTACATGTGCTTCATCACATCCTTGCTCAACCTGGGAACCAGGCTTCCTCAAAACAACACCCATGACTCAGTTTGCATCCCACACACTAAGATGCACTATGCAGAATTTGCATCTAAAAATATACGTTAATTATAGCGAATCTCAAAAGCGAGATTACATCACCGACAGTAGTTTAATTGAGACACTCCTTTGCTCAGATAATCTTGTCTGGTATGATTATGTCTGTAGCCATGGAATTTGTTTAATTAAAACTTCAGAACAATAACCAATTTTGCAAGCAGCACTGATTGAGTGTATCATTCAGAGGACACAGAACTCACAAATGTTATATATTTCATGTTTTGGGAAATATGCTGATACCACTCTCTTATCTGTTTATTCAACATGAAGCCGGAATCAGGACATGCTGCTAATTATCTTAGCTTAGCATAATGACAGGAAATTAGTAAACGGGTAGTCTGGCTTGGCTCAAAGGTAACACATCCACCAGCCAGCACCTTTAAATCTCACTTCACACATTATACCCTATGTTCTTTGTAACAAGCTAAGCCAAATGTCTCCTGGCTCTCTGTATGTAGCATATGTTATCAATATTTTTATCTACTGGTGGGTGACAAAGATAAAACCGACATAAAGTGTCTCAGTCGGGTGTTGGGCTACCACGTGCCACCAGAGCAGGTTCAGTGCTCCTTGTCATTGACCCTCCAAGTCTCTGAACTCTACTGGAGGGACGAACACCATTGTTCTAAAAGACATTGCCTCATTTAACCATGTTGTTTTGATCATGGTGATGGAGATGAGGTCTAACACATTGCTCCAACATCTTCCATAGGTGTTCAGCTGGATCTGATGACTGTGAAGGCAAAAGTATGTGATTCACATCCTTTTCATAACTGAATCCTTAAACTTTTCATTGACCCCTCATGACCTGTGGATGTCATTCTTGAAGAGAACATTTGTTCAGATTTTTTCTTTCACCCATCTGTAAGTCTAGGTACAAAAGCAAACAGATTTCCCAGTATGTCAAATTATTCCTGTAACTCAAGCTCCCCCTAATCCCTGGTGCTTTCAGTCTTCTTCTGTGAACAGAGTTTGCTCAGTTCTAATGGAAATGACTCAGTTGTGTTGAACTTGTATTAGATGATAACAGGTGGTTAAAGATGTAGAGAGACTAATGGTCCCTTGACTTTTCTGTGGTTGTCCACTGACTCCTTGATGACTTTTGACTCCCTCTCTGTCGATGCTGTGATGGTGATGCGTTTTGTTCTGGTGTTCAGACAGCTGACGTTGCCTTTTTCTCATGTTTCTTAGTCTCCCCTCTGGGATTCTTGCTTCTTCATGATGTAGTGTCCCTGACAGCTGTCAAATGAGATGTCATATGCTACTCCATTTGTCCTATCTGGGGGGGTCTTATCTTTAGGATGTACCAGCAGAGATCCTACAAATGCTTTAAATGGTTTGTAGCAGGTCCTGATTCCTTGCCACTTAAAAACTCTGGCTAGGTATTCTGACAGCCTGGCTATGTAAGGGAGGCCCACGGGGACTGGTGGTCTCCTGATTTAACTGTCCACGCTGGTCTAAAGTCAGGGCAGGATTTTTATGTACCATGCAACAGATCGTTTGTCTCTTTGTACTGATGTCATGTTAGAGGATTTCTTTTTTATTTAAGTTTAAAATACTTCTCCCTTTGCTGCCATGTGGAGCATTATGAATAATGGCTCATGGCAGGTTGGAGCAGCCATAACATAAAGGATATGAATCTGTTTTCAAACCGAATAATGTGCTTGTAGGAAGAGATTTCTGAGAACAATGAGTGTATGTGATTTTTATGGAAATGAGTGTGTGTGCAGACACACTCGTTTTTGTTTTGTCCTGAGGGTAGAATTGAAGAAAATAGGAAGGCAGCAAGAGATTAAAAGCTCCTGCAGATGCATGTGCTTTACCAGATTCATGTAGTGTAGCTCCTAATAAATACGAACTGACCAACTGTGCATTGCAGTAATGAATAATACTTTGGTACAGAGTTAAATCTAATAGGATTGGACTGATGGTATGATTATTTGCAAGGTGGGAGTGATGAGAGTTTAGGATTGAAGATGAGGATAAACCCATCTGAACTTATTTTAACGCTTTTATATTTGCACAAGAAATGTTACCACTCTCCACAGTTATGAGGTGAATTCACATGCGTGGGCTGCACCACAGTGAGTCGTATCGAAAGAATGGCAGGGGTCAAATGAAGAAAGTCGAGAAAACTTCGTTTTCTTTTCAAAGAATATACAGAAATGTTGGCTTGTGTTTGTGGTTTGCGACCCAGCTATGGGTCATACTGTAATTTATCCTCCCTTTGCTCCACTGCCACTTTACCAGCTGGAACAGAGACCTGTGAGGGGAAAAGAAAAGAAAATGAGAGAAAAACAGTTTGGAAATATTTGTTCAATTTTTATAATGTTTCAACTGACATCTGCCCAGATGTTGTTTTAGTCATTGATAGTTTTCAATTAACTCCTAATTAGGGCACGACTATAAAGCGAGGTGATTATTCCAGCCAGTCAATTGCCTTAATTAATCAGAGAAGGGTAAATGAGCCGTTGGGCCAATAAGATGTTAAACTTTGCAAAGGAAAACAGATTGTAATGAGACAACTGGAACAATGCTAACAAACATTTAGATAACTTTTTTTTTGTTGGCAGTTTAATTTCAACAGTGACAGATCTTCCCATTTTAATCATTTGTCACCTGTGATCACACCCCAAACAATGTTCACTACCTTCTCTTCAGCATCTGTCTAAATGAAAACATACTTTTCACTTTACTGTAAGGTGATATTTGGCTTCACTGACTTGACTAAAGAAGATATCCACGCCTGTGCGTACACCCACTCGCACATCATTCATCCTGTTTGACCCAATGGCGCCACCAAGCGCTGGCCACCATCCTAAAATTACTGGCCACCCCACTGGCCACAAGCCCCAGTCGTTCCAGTGCTTTATTAAAAACCTGGCATACTTTCGAGATGTAACACATTGAGTTGGATCTTTAAGGGGGGAATTCTCAAGAAGGAATTTTTTTTACATGATTGAGATACAATTATTGAAATAAAAAAAAATTGAGTATGAAATCTGATGTGTTGTTTCACACCAGAACTCTAGGTCTTATATTGCTGGATCCATAATTCATTATTCTATGCAATACAGATACCGTACATCTAGAACTATAGCCACTTATAGAAGTTTTTGGCCATAGAATGTTCCATCTATCCATTATCTACACTGCTTTTTCCTGAGTAGCATCAAGGGCAGGGCTGCAGCGAGAGGCAGGGTCCACCCTGGACAGGTCGCCAGTCTATCACAGGGCTGACATGTAGACAAACAAAACCTTCGCAATCAGCTCATAATTAATATTTGTGTTTAAGCAACTTGCACACTTGATTTTACTTCTGATGATGCATTTAAATTCAGTTAATTAAAGATTCCTTGGCTGATCTCATAACCTGTTGATATTCACATCAGCCAAGGAATTAAACAGTATGCAATTTATTTTACACTAGTATCCATATTTCTCTATTAACTTGCATAGTCTGAAATTCCTCTGTGCTGTATAACCTTATTAATGTGCCATCCCAAGATTAAATATTTTCTGCAGGCACCACTGGTTTGACCTCCATCACCAGCGCCATTCTGAAACCCATTATTAGACTGGATTTGAACCACTTTGCCCCAGTTCAACAGGTGAATCATTTAGCATTCAGTGACAGAGTCCTTTATGGCTGCTGCAGCACCTCAAATGGCTTCAGGCAAGGCAGCTCCTCTACACTGTGACAGTATTTGAGGAGAATATACTGGATAGATGTATGAGTACGAACCCAGGTCTGGCACAGATGCAATCACAGCCTGCAACAGATAACTACCCCATCTATTCCACCTTACTTTAAAAGCCCTTTTCTAATGTCTGCTGTGTTGTATGGAGAAATGTAATGCAGGGAAAATAGAACTTTGACTAAAAGCAAACTGGAGCACTGAGGAGGTGACATCAC